CCTAATTTCCTTTCCAGAGCTGTCTTTATTGTTCTTGTTGTTGTTAGGGGCCACTGGGTTGGTACCGACTCATAGTGACACTGTACACAGCAGAACAAAACACTGCCCAGTCCTGGGCCAACCTCACAATTGTTGCCACACTTGAGCCCATTGATGCTGCCACTTTGCCAATCCATCTTGCCGGGATCTTTATTAGTATGGAGGAATCCAACTTATTTTTGTCTGTTGATCTTGTACGTTGCCACTTTGCTGAGTCTTCTAATGGGTTCTAGATTTTTTGCTGAGTCTTTGGGATTTTCTGTATATAGGATCATATCATCTGCAAATAGAGTTTTACTTCTTTGCCAATTTGAATGCTTCTAATTTCCCTTCTTCCCTTTCTTGTCTCTGCTAAGACTTTCAACACAATAGTGAATAGGAGTGGTTATAAATGGCATCTTTATCTTGTTCCTGGTGGCAAAGGTAATGCTTTCAGTTTCTCTCTGTTGAGAGTGTTGTTGGCTGTTGGTTTTGTACCTATACTCTTTTTTTTTTTTTTTTTTTTTAAGTTTTTATTGAGTGAAAGTTTACAGGGCAGATCATCAGTTTTACATTCAACAAATCCTGTACTGTGTTTCATTACAATGATTATAATCCCCTCCACGTACCATCAGATAACAGTACTTCTATTTACTTTAGCTTTTTTTTAAAACAAAACAAAACAAAACAAAAAACACTTAGGCATCTATAATAATTTACAACACCAAAGGGCACATTCTGAAAGTCTGCCTCCTGGCCAGCAGCTCTTAGTCCCTCTCTTCCCATGAATCTAGAGTCCTCAGCTGCTCCCTCTCTCCATGTCCCCATCTCTGCCTCCATCTCTGGTGTCGCTGCTTTTGTGGATAAGGTCTCACATTCCGCTTGTGCTCTTCTCCCTTGATGATCCTAGGGTCCTTTGTTTCTGGACTATAACATTAACTGTTCCCCTGTTTTTGTTACAAAACTTCTACCTTTACAATTGTGAGAGTTGCAATTAGTCATGATTACTCATTATTGAATTATAAGAATCTTATCTCCATCTCTTCACCAGACCCATGTAGAAAAGATGAAAACTATTCAGTGGGGACTCTTTCTTCCCCCACACACTCTTAAACTAAACTCCCTCTTGAACCCTTGTAAGCTAGTCACTTCATGCTTTATCACCCCCTCATTTTAGGTACCCAATATCTAAGTTATCTGCCCCTATCTATCCTGTGTACAAAGGGGATAACATTGATACTTGATGTTAAGACTCCTTTACTCTCTGTTGGTATATAGAGTTACTGTCTCTATGAGTATAGGTCAAGTTCATCAAATTGTAGCAATTAACCCTCGTTTCATTTATTAAAAATTGCTTTTCTGTTTTTATCTTCCTCTAGTTGAGTTCTGATTATCAAGCCATTGAGACTAGGTCAGATGGGTACTTTCTGCAAGTTTGGGTGTTCTTTTGCATCGCCCCTCACTTCATATCAGCTGGATGCTTCACTCTCAGCTCTAGCCCTCTGTGGCTGTGTTCTTGTCCATGGGCTCAGGTGTCCCCAGATGTCATTACACTTTGGACCAACCAGCCCTTCCTCTTCTCTCTCTCATATCCAGGTCCACAGGAGTCTATGGACCATGGTTGAACTCAGTCCATTTCTTCATTGCTGCCTTTCCCCCTCTTCCACTCACCAGTAGACCAGTGTGGTTGTCAGCAGCTTACATGCCTGCTGATGTGTTCCTTTTGAGTTTCAATCTTAGAGGGGGGTTTGCCCTGAAGGAACTTGATTGCTTGCCTTGATGGCTTCCCGGCAAACAGCTTGCTTATTCTTGTAGTAGCTAGTCATGCTGACTTTTTTGTTTTGGGTTTTTCCTGATGATCTTTCTTTGAAGATGTATCTTATGTTGCTCTAGCTGTTCAGGCTGGTCTGCCTGTCCTTTCTAGTGGGACTATCCCACCTCTGAAGTTTCTGGATGGGGCTCAGGATTCCACCTAAGATCCTATACACTGCATAGGCTCCACAGGAGGCCTATTTCACTGGGCACGTTCTAGAACCCCTTTTAGGTATTCCAATCAGTTATAGGCTGAAGATGGGCTTACAAGCTTTCTCTAATCATGTTTCCTGACATTCCTTTCTATCCCACTTAAGTGTCTATTTTACAATAGTAGGCAAGGGAAACCAATATAAGACAGTCAAGCATCTTAGTATTAATTCCCCTCTTCAAACTAAGCCTTGATCCCTATAACACAGAGCCCTGTTGTTCCAAGGTTGAGCATGCATCACTATTTACCTCTGCCCTGTTTAGCCCATGCAAACCTGTGTCAGGGTCCCCCTGTCTACCTTGTTCTTCCCCCCCTCTCTCCTATATATATATGCTCTTAATTATGTTGAGAAACTTCCCTTCAATTCCTCCTTTGTTGAGTGTTTTTATCATGAATGGGTGTTGGATTTTGAGACATGCCTTTTCTGCGTTAGTCAATATGAGTATGTGATTCTTTATCTTATTTGTAATTTATATGGTGAATTACACTGATTGTTTTCTAATATTGAGCCTTGCATCCCTGGTTTGAATGCTGCTTGATCATGATGTATTATTTTTTTGACATGTTGGTGAATTCTATTGTGTGACCCCCCATTTTTGATAGCCAGTGCTAGATTGTCTCTATCAATCCACTGCACTGAGGAAAACAAGCTTGATCCTCTATATGAAGAATCCTTCCATTCCAATTGGAATTTTGAGCCAACTACATCCATAAGCAAAAGGCCAGTTCATCAAATTTTAGCAATTTTACTTACAGTAATCAGGCATCTTTATCTTCATATGGTTGACTTCTACCTAGCCATCCAAGCTAGGTCAAATGGGTAGTAACTGCAAGTTTGCGGGTTCACGCATGCCTCCCTGTGCTTCAGACCAGCTGGCCACTTCACTTTCAGGTCTAGCCCCCAGTGACTAGGTCAGTGCTCATAGGCTCAGGAGTTCACACAGCTCCGTAAACTTCAGACCAGCCAGGCCTTCCTCTTCTCTCTTTTATCTTGAGGTCAAGGAGTGTCAATGGAGCATGGTCAAACTCAGCCCATTTCTTCATTGCTCCATTTCCCCCACTTCTACTCACAAGTAGACCTAGATGGTCACAGTGGACACACTAGCCTGCTTGTGGGTTCCTTTTGAGTTTCAATCTTAGAAGGTTTTTTGTTTTTTTTTTTTGATGGGCTGTTTTTTCTTACCTTGATACTTCCAAAGCAAACAGTTTGCTTGATATCCTAATAGCCAAACAGTCTATTTTTATTCTGCAGGTCTGTCTTTCAATAAGATTCTTCTGTTCTCCATGCAGTTCTGGGCTGGTCTGCATGTTTTTTCAAGTGTGAATGTCCCAACTCAGAAGGTTCTGGGATGGGACTCAGGATTCCACCTAAGGCCCCATACTCAACAAAGGCTTAATAAGAAGACTATTTCCCTGGGCACATTCTAATTCCCTTAAAAGGGCACATTTTGTGGTATGTGAATTACATGTCAACATTAAGCTGTTGTTTTGTTTTTTTTTGTTGTTTTTTTTAAAATTATGATGAAGGAGGATAGCCCAGAATTAAAGAGATGTATCATTTACTAGAAGTTCTTGAAATAGACACTTAGAGCTGAGTGGAAACTATTTATAATGGGAGAAAACAGAATTGATAGTTTTGGGAACAAGTTAAACAACACTCAAAACCAAACCCACTATTGTCAATTCTGATTCATAGCAAACCCTCCATAGGGTAAAATAGAACTGGTCTATGTGATTTTCAGGACTAAATCTTTATAGACGTGCACTGCCACATCTGTTGCCCATGGATGAATGCTACAACGATTGAATTAAATAGAAGATATAGATCATTGATGTCTTCATGAGTACAACTTTTAAGATTTAATAATTATACCTTAATACCCATAAATGTACTCTCAAATGTTATATTTGGACATCTTTCTATCAGCTATCAGACAAATGTTTCAAGCTCTCACTTGGTGGTATTGCTGGTGAATTATCCCTAGCAGCATAGTCTGAGCATTGTAACCACCATTGCCTTAAAAAACAAACAAACAAAAAGCCTTTGGAATAGCACTGTATATGAAGAGACTTCAAAATTTTTGTGGAAAACTGGAATGAAATATAATATGAAATTTTTCCACAAACGTTTTGAAGCCCCCTCATTGTGTCTAAAAGAGTATTATGAGAAATATATTTGTTTATCGTTCCCTTTTACTTTTTTACTATTTTATATGTTGTGTTCAGTTTACTTTTTATAAATAGTTTCCCAAGGTAAATTAATATAAAACTGTTGTGAACTATTGATATTTTTCTAGGGACTTTATTATTCTCAATAAATAAAGATTGCCCACATATACAGAGGGGCTTCAAAAGATTTGTGAAAAAATTCCATTACCTGTTAGTTCCTTTTCCATGAACATTTGAATAACCCTTGGTTATAAACAAAAGTAATTCAGGAGGAATCATACACTTACGATCTTCTTGTTGCATTTTCCTGGCAATATTTAAGAGAGCTTGGATTCTTCCTGTCTGTACTTCTCCGTATCATACCAAATATCCTTATAATTGCAACTGGAGATAAAAAAACATATGTTGTTGTTGTTATGTGCTGTGGAGTTGGTTCCGACTCATAGCAACCCTGTACAGGGTTTCTGACAGGGCTGTAAATCTTTACGGGAGCAGAACGCCTCATCTTTCTCCCACAGAACAGCTGGTAGTTTCGAACTGCTGACCTTGCGGTTTGCAGCCCGATTCATAACCACTACGCTACCAGAGCTCCTTAATAAGACATATATCATCTGTTAATTCTTTGATGAAAATGACCTGGGACCAATTTTTAGAAAAGCTTTATTAATGACTTGAGACTCTATGAATACAAGTGAATTATGTGCATGACCTGAGACAGATGCACTGACACATCCACACAAATATTGACATTATGATTTTTTTTGTTGTTATTTTGTATTTATTATTGAAGTGGGTGGAATGAATCATCTCCGAGAGAATGGTATAGTTCACCGTGATATCAAGCCAGGAAACATCATGCGTGTTATAGGGGAAGATGGACAGTCTGTGTATAAACTCACAGATTTTGGTGCAGCTAGAGAATTAGAAGATGATGAACAGTTTGTTTCTCTATATGGCACAGAAGAATATTTGGTAAGTCATTCTTCTCTATTTTATTCAAAGAAGCTGGATATATGGGAGACATAACTGAGTAATTGGCCAACCAATTCACTAACCATAAATTAAGATATTACTTAATTTTTATGACAAAATTAAATTTTCTATTCTAGTATCATGTATGACAAGGGAATTAGATGCTTATTTCTGAGAATTTTGTTTGTTTGTTTCTGTTAAAAATTCTAAAAAATTTTTGTGTCATTCTTAAATCTCCTGATTTAACTAATATTATGGATTAATGGAGTCCTGGTGTGGCGCTGAAAGCTAAGCACTAGACTGCTAACCACAGGGTTGGTGGTTCAAACCCACCAGCCACTCCTCAGAAACCGTATACAGGATCACTATGAGTTGTAAACAACTAGACGACACTTAACAACAACATGGATTTATAGTAAAAATAGAACTTTCTCTACACTCAAGGAATATACTTGCCAGGAAAGGCACCTGTTTTATGATCCCAGCAGTTAATGCATTATAAGTTTATTACAATACTATTCCTTATAGAGCAAAATTCATTATAATCCTGAAACAGAAGAATTTTACTCAGGGGTATTTGGTTATTGAAAGACCGAAAAGACCCTTTTGGGAAACGCACACAAAGATGAAATGCCTCTGGAAAGATCTAACTTGAGATACCAGAAAGTTTCCAGGTTTACTTAGTGTGTTTGTGTTAAGTTAGGACCTGTGTAAAACACTTATGAAAAGATCATACTTAAGAGTAAATACGTTTAAAAAAAGAAAGAGTAAATACATTTTAAATGTAATCAGGAAGTTTATATGAAATAAACCAAACCCACTGCCATTGCATGGATTCTGAGTCATAATGGCCCTACATAGGTTTTCCGAGACTGTGTATCTTTATACAGGAGCAAACAACTTTATCTTCCTGTTGCATAGCGACTACTGAGTTTGAATTTGCCAACCTTGTGATTAGCAATCTGATACCTAACTCACAGCATCACCAGGGCTTCTTTTATAATATGTAGCTATTGTTAGTTACTCATGGCTCTGGTTTTTATTTCAAAAGCCTTAGATTCTATGACTTGTTTTTGTTTTGTTTTGTTTTTTCAGTGTGTTCTTATAATACAAAGGATAAAGTCTCGCTGCCCTTGTAGTTTCATTCAGATTATTCCAAGTCTGGCATGAATTGAAGTGTCTTAGAATATTTTATTAGCAGTGTTATATGCTGTTGAGTTGGTTCATCTCATAGTGACCCTATGTATAACAGAATGAGACACTGCTCAGTCCAAGTCTGTCCTCAGAATTGTTATGTTTGGTCCCATTGTTCTTTCTCTCTCTCACTGACCCTCCACTTCACCAAGCATGGTGTCTTTTTCAAGGGACTGATCCTCCTGATAACATGCCCAAAGTATGAGAGAGACCAAGTCTTGCCATTGCCACTTCTTAGGAGCAATCCAGCCATACTTCTTCCAAAACAGATTTGTTCATTCTATTGGCAGTCTGTAGTATATTCAGTATTCTTCATCAACACCATAATTCAGATGGGTCAGTTTTTGTTCTTGCCTTACTTATTCATTGTCCAGCTTTTACATGCATATGAGATGATTGAAAATACCATGACTTGGACCAGGCATACCTTAGTTCTCAAAGTGATGTCTTTGATCTTTAATACATTAAAAACTTGTTTTTCAGCAGATTTGCCCGCAGCAATACATTGTTTGATTTCTTGACTGCTCCTTCTATAAGAAGTCTTTGACAACTGCAGTTTTTTTCTCTGTTGATCATGATGTTATTTATCTGTCTAGTTGTGCAAATTTTTGTTTTCTTTATGTTGAGGTGTTTGCTTTTGCCAAAAAAAAAAATTTGCCTCTACATTTCTGACCCTCACAGTCAGTCCTGGCAGTAGGTATTCACTGTTGTACCACAAGAGTCTTATCCCCATTTCCTTTTGTCAGCCCAGTCCCAACAGTTTGGAAATCATTCAGTAGAGGTTCTGCCTATCCTGCCTTGTCTGGAACTAGGCTCCCTCTTGAAAGTTTGTAAGCCAGTCGCTTCTTGCCTTTATATCCCCCCCACCCCCTTTTTGGTTCTGGGCAGTTTCCAGCTACCCTCAAGGTATTCCAGTCAGTTATAGGCTGAAGACAGGCTTATATGTTTTCTGTTGTGATGTTTCTGGCTATCCGCCCCCCCCCCCAAGTGTCTATTTCATAATGGTAGGATAGAGAGTCCAAGATTCAAAAGACAGCCAAGCATCATCCTAACTTTATTCACCTCTTTTCCCCTGTCAAGTCAGGCCTCAATCCCTGGATCCTGAAGCCCTGTTTTTCCAAGGTTATGCATACACCATCATTTACCTCTGTCCCACCTAGCCCCTGCGAACCTGCCCAACTGTTCTCCCTTCCACCTTCTTTTTCCCCTCTCCCTTCTTGTATATTGCCAGCCCCATCCCCCAGCTCCAAGGTTCTCCTGTGTCTATTCCCCACCCTGTGCTCTTACTTCCCCTCCCTCCTTCCCCACCTCTCATCCCGTAAATACTGGTGATCAGCATCCCCTTTTGGGTGGGTTCTTTTTCTTAGTTTTTTACAATAATGGTCTTATGCAGTATTTCTCCTTTTGTGACTGAATAATTTCACTCAGCATAATGTCCTCAAGGTTCATCCATGTTATGCAATGGCTTGCAGCTTCCTTGTTGTTCTTCGAGGTAGCATAGTATTCCATTGTATGCATGTACCTCAGTTTGTTTATCCATTCTTCAGTTGATGGGCATTTTAGTTGTCTCCCTTTTTTTGCTATTGTAAATAGTGCTGCTATTTTTGGTGTGCGTATATATATCTATGTATGTTATGGCTTGTATTTCTTGTGGGTAAATACCAAGTAGAGGAATTGCTGGGTCATAAGGTATTTGTATTTCCAACCTTCTGAGGAAGCACCATATTGCTTTCCAGAGTTGTTGGACCATTTTGCAATCCCACCAACAAGGTAGGAGGATCCCAGTCTTTCCACATCCTTGTCAGCATTTGTTGTCTTCTGCTTTTTAGATCTTTGCTGTTATTGCTGGTGTGAGATGATATCTCATTGTTGTTTTGATTTGCATTTCTCTGATGGCTAGTGATCGTAAACATTTCTTCATATGTTTGTTGGCTGCCCAGATCTCCTCCTTGGTGAAATGTCTGTTCATGTCCTGTGTCCATTTTTTAATTGGGTTATTTATCTTTTTCTTGTAGAGGTGTTATAGTTTCCTATATATTTTAGAAATGAGTCCCTTATCTGATGTGTCGTTGCAAAAGATTTTTACCCATTCTGTGGGTTCCCTTTATTACTCTTTTGGTGAAGTCTTTTGATGCACATAAGTTTTTTTTAGTATGTCCCACTCATGTATTTTGTCTGTTTTTGTTTGTGTACTTTTCAAAAAGGAGCTCTGGTAGCATAGTGGTTACAAATCGGGCTGCAAATCTCAAGAGCAGCATGAGGCTTTCTGCTCCCGTAATGATTTACAGCCTCAGAAACCCTGTATAGGGTTGCTATGAGTCGGAACTGACTCCACGGCATATGACAACAACAACAACAACTTTTCAAAATGTTTAGTAGTCTGTTAATGCCCTGAATTATTGCCCTCACATTTGTCCCTATTTTTTCATTGATGACCTTCATAATTTGGGGATTCACATTTAGATCTTTAATCCATGCTGAGTTCGTTTTGGGTATAGGACATCAGGTAAAGGTCTTGTTTCAGTGTTTTGCATATCGCTGTCCAGTTCTGCCAGTACCATTTGTTAAAGAGACTGTCTCCCCCGCATGCAATATACCTAAGCACTTTGTTGAAAATCATTTGGCTGTATGTGGTTGGGTTAACTTCTGGATACTCGATTCTGTTCCATTATTCAATGTATTTTTTCATTGTACCAGTACCAGGCTGCTTTCACCACTGTGGCCATGGAGTAAATGTTGAAATCGGGGAGTGAGAGACCTCCAACCTTGTTCTTCTTAAACAGTGCTTTACTTATCCTGGGTCTCTTTCCTTTCTATATAAAGTTAGTAATTGTCTTTTCCATCTCTTTGAAGAATGTTGTTGGAATCTGGATTGGGATTGCATTGTATATGTAAATTGCTCTGGGCAGTACTGACAGTTTCATGATGTTGAGTCTTCCTATCCAGGAACATGGTATGTTCTTCCACTTCTGTAGGTCTCTCTTTGGTTTCTTGTAGTAGTGTTTTGTAATTTTCTTTGTATAAGTCCTTTGTTTCCCTAATGTATAAATCGTTTCCCTTTGTATAAGTCATTTATTCCTAAATATTTCATCTTTGTGCGGCTGTTTTAAATGGTATTGCTTGCCTAATGTCCTTTTCAGCGCTATCGTTGTTGCTGTAGAGAAATCCAACAGATTTTTGTATGTTGATCTTATATCCTGCCACTTTACTGAATCTTCTGATGAGGTCTAGTAGTTTTTTTTTTACTGAGTCTTTGGGGGTTTCTATGTATAGGACCATATCGTCTGCAAATAAGGAGAGTTTTATTTCTTGTTTGCCAGTTTGGATGCCTTTAGTTTCTCTATCATGCCGTATAGCACTGGCTAAAACTTCCAGCACAGTATTGAACAGGAGTGGTGATAAAGGGCATTGTTATCTGGTTTCTGTTCTTAGAGGGAAGGCTTTCAGTTTCTCTCCAATGAGAGTGATGTATGCTGTTGGTTTTGTATATATGCTCTTGATTATGTTGAGGAATTTCCCTTCAATTCCTACTTTGTTGAATGTTTTTTTTATCAGGAATAGATGTTGGATTTTGTCAAATGCCTTTTCTGCATCTATCGATATGGTCATGTGGTTCTTTTCCTTTTTCTTATTTATCTGATGGATTACATTTTTTTTTTTTTTTCCTAATGTTGAACCAATGACTTGGTCATGATGTATTATTTTTTTGATGTGCTGTTGGATTCTGTTGGCTAGGATTTTGTTGAGAATTTCTGTGTCTATGTTCATCAGGGATATTGGTCTATAGTTTTCTTTTTTAGTGATGT